CAAAGATATGGAATTCATTGCCTGAATAAGTATTTCCAAGAATTTATAATCCCCAAAAGTTGAACAATCCAATACCTACCTCCTCTACTCATTATCCTTATGTACGCACGATGCTCTTCGAACATTATTGCGCATTTATTTGCTGGAAATTCCACTTTGGATTCATCGAGAAAACAACCTTCAATCATAACTCCAATTGACAATCATATACCCGAGATCACCTTTCGCCAACGTACTATAAGGAAGATTTTATTAGGTCTCAAGTGCTCCCGAACCAACACCTCCTCTCTGCAAGTTGTTTTACTACTCTTACAAATTGGGGATATTCCCGTCCAACTGAAAAATTGCAAGAGTACTACCAGTTCCTGAAAAAGGCAAAAAAGATTCTACCTAGCAACTACAGACCGATCGCACTGCTATATCTATTATCTCAAAGATCATGGAGAAAGCTATCAACATCGAGTTCATGAAATACCTGGAACATTCAGGCATTATCAACGATAGGCAATATGGCTTCCGTCATCAGAGATCAACTGGTAACCTGCTCGCTTACGTCTCACATATATGGCAGCAATCAATTGAGAAATATGGTGAAACCTGAAACACTATTTCTACTCCATATCAACGATTTGTTGGAAGCAACTCCATGTCCAGTACACAGCTTCGCGGATGATAGTACCCTCCATACCGCCTTCTCTTCCAGGGCTCCAATACCAGCCAGGCACATCAGAAACGAACGAGGGAGAAATGTTGACAACATGAATATGGACTTGGCAACAATTCTCGAATGGAGATCCAATAACTTGGTAGATTTTTATGCACACAAAACACAAGCATGCCTTTTCTCTAGAAAAGTCGATCTCACTGTGCCCAACATAAGCTGGTCAGGAGTAACCATATCTTTAAAGACATCCATTTCGATGCTTGGTATTACTATCAGCAATAACCTTTCTTGGGAAAATCACGTGAGATCAATTGTTAAAAGTGCATCCCAAAAACTTTGGTTTTCTGTTTCGGGCTAGGAGCTATTTCACTTCGAGTCAGCTGCTTATGATCCTGAAACTGTTGAATTCTGTCCAAAAAGGGCAATTCGTCTCGTGGGTGATGCCACGCTCACAAACTCACTCACTTCTCTGGAACACCGTAGAAAAGTTGCCGATCTGGCTCCATTTTATAGATATTTTCATGGACGATGCTCTTCTGAAATATCAACAATTGTTCCCCCCTTGGCAGTCCCCGCGAGATTTACCCGTCGAGTTGAAGCGTCGCACCCCTTCGTGGTCACTTTGGAGACCTGCAGAACATCTCTTTCCATAGACTCGTTCATCCAACGAACTGCGAGGCTCTGGAATACATAGCAAAGGGAGGTGTTTCCCGAGGCATATAACCTCCAGAAATTCAAGAAGAACACCAATTTCTACCTTTTTTCTCTTGGTTCTCACGATGTTCACTGAACATTACAGAATATCCTTTTTCGTGGGAACCAGAACAAAAAAAAAATTATAGGGATTTCCTTTCGTGCGCTCCATAAAAAAAGTATTTGGACTTTGTAGATCATAAGAAGCTGACTACCAGACTCTTACTCGTTCGATAATGAAAAATGATGTGAAAGGACGTTGCCGAGATAACGAAGCAGTTTTCTCGTGGAAACTCGCTTAGCTGTTCTCCTTTTTTCCAGCGTACGCGCGCCTTTTTCATATTCTGATGGGGTCGTTTCCTGGTATGACGATTTAAAATGAATGGAAAGTAGCTTGAATAGATCGTTTCATAGTTATTTCAGAATGAAGCAAAATATGAGGACGCGTAAACATGCCTACATAATATCTTTCATATCTGATTTAGTTCTTGCTATTCCTTTTTTCACAAAAATAATATTTTTACTAGCTTATAATATACCAGCGGCTTCGCTCGCATTGAAGCTTTAATAAATATCAAAGATTATTACATTCCAATAGAACTGAGTCAATGTGATTCAGTATTTAAAAATTACTACATACCTACAATGAAGAATCTATTGATATGATTTATTACCGCAAACTTTGAAATGTATTTCACTACAACATGCTTCCGCATGGATTATTTGTGGCGCCCTGTCTCTGTGAAAATAAGTGTACTTTACTTCACACTTTTTCGGTGAAATTATGAAACCCTATTTTGATATTGAAAAATTGTACATTTTAGGCACACAAAAAAAAAGTGCAGTTTTTTTACAGTTGTAGAAGACGGTTTATAATATCAATTTTCTTTCACTCTTTTTTAATTATACAATGAAGAAAATTCATTAATCTTTTAGTCTAGCTCTACTTTTGATTCCACGTTGACAATCATTCCTTTTGAATTTTTAATTGAAAAGATTTTATGAAAAAACTGTTGACATTTACCTGCGATGAAGAAGGTTATACATTTTTCATATCTTCACCGTTATTTCTCTGTTCAGTCGGTAGACACCTTGTAGTTGTTATGCTTGCAAGCGGATGTTGCTTTTCTGCTTGCAGTAAGTGTAGCGACAGTGTGTCGGTAACACCCTATATGGCACGTGAGACCTCCATTGAGAATGCAAATGACGACAATGAGCGGCCCTGCTTGTAAATCTCGAATATATCTGCTGATATTATGTATCCACACTGAGGAACGTGCTCATTCAATACCTACCATTCTCATTCAATATTATGCAAGGAGTTTTACGGTGGATGGAACATTAGAATTCTATTAAAAAGTAGTATCAACTTTGTTATTTGGAATGGAACACCCTGTAGCACATTGAATATTTAGGTTCTCCTTGAAAAGCTGGTTTGATCGATGCATCACACTTGGGGTCTAGCGGAAATGATTACAAAGATATAGGGTGTTGAAAATCGAGACTTGGGATTTTTTTGTGTCGAAACTATCCATTATTGGTCAAAACGGCTCACATGTCCATATCTCAACTTTCGATTTACCATCTTCTGACATTTAATTGGAACAAATACAGGGTGGTTCAAGATTCAGAATTCTGATCACCTAAATCAAGAGTCAAGATAGTTTCGACACAAAAAATCCCAAAGTTGAACACTCTCGATTTTGGACACCCTATATCTCTGTAATCATTCCCGCTCTAGACCCCAAGGGTGATATGCATTGATGAAATCAGCTCTTCAGGGATAATCTGATAATACAATTAAATACAGGGTGTTCCATTTGAAATAACAAAGTTACTACTACTTTCTAAAAGAAGTGGCAACATCGCATTTTCGAAAATATTTTAGATGGATAGAGCATGTCGAATAATCTTTTCCAAGTTTGCTTGTCTACTTCTATAATTATATTGGAGACTGCCTGGTCAGGGATGATGTGGGCAGTGGAAGGGCAAATTTTTTATCGCTATGAGTACTTTTCCCAGATTGGTTTACCAACTTGTTCATAATGTTTGTGTAGTCTCTGGAGTGAATATTCCGAATATTGTTAATATTTTGTTTTTGGAGAAAATAGGCCTACGTCACGGATCTTCAGTTTGAATATAAGGAATTACTTTGCATTAAGATCTGACTGCCAGAGCCCCAGAAGATGGCTCTCCATGAGTGACGGTAGTAGTTTGCTTATTATTGCTGTCAATGAATATACGAAGGAATAATTTGGTTACAGGCTTACCTTCAATGATTCGTTCACCTGGAGTTACTTGATCTAAATCTCACTTAAATATTACCAGAATGTTACCATTTAGAACTATTCACTGAAACGTTTTGTGGGTTAGATCTTACAGAAAATTTTATAAAATTCTAGGTTTGAACCTATTAATGGCTTAGAATCATTAGACAAATCAACATTTAGTACATTCAACACGGTGTTAATGGACCATACTCAATTTTTCATTTGTTGTGGGTTAGAACCTTTCACCACCAAAGCGGCGATGTGCGGCATGATTGATTATCCTAGCCCACAAATTTTCAAAATGATCTCAAGATCTGTCGTTCGGTACTCCAGATACCTCTAAATGTTCCATTCACCGTGAAACACCTTGTATAATATTGAATGAGAATGGGATATATGAATGAGATATATTGGAGATTTACAAGCTAGGCCGCTCATTGTCTTCATTTGCATTAATGGAGGTCTTACGTGGCCATGCCATATGGGGTATCTGTGGTTCGGTTCATCAGATAAGTCTAATGTTCCATCCACCGTTAAACACCTTGTATTATTCATGACATCGTTTTGTTAATGAGTCGCAAAAAACAGGAAATCTCTATTGAGCCCTCTTGGATGTTTACATACTGAACCCTCCGTAGATGAAAAACCACCCCTCTTTCGGTCAACTCAATTATTTTCGTCTCTGGGGCCAAAGAACGAGCATTCCCTTGATGACAGTACAGCAATTTACACAAAAAAAATCTCCCCTAACATGGCTTTGCATGTTCGTCAAAGTGATACCGAATACCAACGCTTTCAGCGATTCTTATAGTCATATTGTAATTGAAAAACGTTTCTAATTTGAGTTAGACTTTCCAGGAATATCTTATATGAGGTCTTCCAAAGCAAGAAACAATATCATTTACATTTACACTCCTGTCCTTGCTCAGTCAGAAGTATACTAACGTAATGGTGGTTTTTTATTGTCTGCAAAGTTCTTTACTCATTTTACTATTATTGTCATGCCACCAGACTGGATTATTTATGTCTATTCTTAGACAAAACTATGCATTTCTATAAATACGAATCAGAAGCGGAATTCATAGAGAACTGTTCCAAAAATATATTAAATAGAATAAGCTCACCGTCCAGAGGTCATTCAACCACCTCTAATGCTGCATATGGATATATCACAAAAATTCTTCAAATAAATAATTATTATGCGAAAATATTTTCATGTATAATACGCAGCTATATATTTATTACTGGATATTTCGACCTCGGTGCATCTCAATCCCATTAAAAAAAAAACTGATAAGACTAAATGTTGTATTCAAAGCCACTGTACAAACACTGTCCATTGGAGTGAAAACGAAACAGATCCACAGCTACATTCATTCCTCGAGCGTTCTCTGATAGGAGCTACCTTGCTCTATTTCTTCAAATTCCTCCCTGCTCGTCTTCCCCCCACTATTACAAACCGTCCCAGCACCAGACAATCTCAGATAATCCACGAAGTTATTCCAGCTGTGCGAGATCTTCTCTTCCAAACCGATAAACTGCTTGCTGGTATTGATCCTCAGCGCGTAAAAAGTCTGCAACAGCTTATCCTCGAACTCCTTAGTGACCGTCTTGATCCTCTCCTCCAACACTCTGCTAAACTCCTCCATCTCGGAAACCTTCACGCTAGTCCCTTCCTCCACCACCTCCGTTTCAGCTTCGCAGCTCTCCTCGCTCGCAACAACGAAATTCCTCTGCTCCGTCTGATTCGACCTCCTCGGCGACGAGTCAGACTTGATGCTGAAGTCCCCGGACGCAGAAAACTCGTCCTCGTAGTTCCTACTGAACTTCAGCACGGGCACAGAACTCGACAGATAGTCTCCGGCGTTCGGGAAAGCTATCTTCTTGATCCCACCGTTAGCGCTGGCCACGAAGGTCCTTAGCGGCGACTTCATGTTCCTGGAATCGTAGCTCCTCAACTGTCCCGACGCAGTGCTGACAGCCAACTCGTGAGTACCGCGCAGGTAAGCGAGACTGGACAATGAGCAGTCCAGCTCGTAGTTACAAACGCACTTGTAGCTCCTCAAATCGTAGCTGAGGAATTTACCGTCAGCCCCCACGGAGGACAACGTCGTATCGCCGAAATCCAGGTCTGTGATTCGCCCGGAGTGCCTCTTGCTGCAGAGCAAACTGTCAGTGGTTTCGGTGTCCCATAAACACAGCACTCCCTCCTTGCTTGCACCGGCTAGGAGGTTAGAGCTGGTCTTGCTGCAAGCTATGGTGCATAAAGTGGGGCTGTTGGGTACCACGAAGCTAGCGCAGGGTTTGTAGTGCGCATCCAAGAGGATAATCTGACCGTTAGAGCAACCAGCAGCCAGGCACTGGTCATCCAGAGTGTACTCTAGGTTCTGCACCGCGCTGGGTAGTTTGAGGTGGTCCACAGGGTGTCTGGGGCTCTTCACGTTGTAAATATACACTCCTCCTTCCTCGGTGCCGAAGGCTACTACATCGGGGTCGGCTGTGGAGAAAGTCGCGACGGTGGCTCTATTGGCGTAGCTGCAGTCGTAGGCCTCCACGTACTGTTCCGGTCTGGTCGGGGCACTTAGGATGACAGGGTTGCCCTTGCTTTTCACCGCTAGAAGTTCTTTGCCGTCGCAGGACCAGGATATGCTGCGGATGGTCATGCAGTCGGCTGGAGATTCGTAGGTGCCGACGTAGCAGATGTCTGGCCATTTATAGAACTTTATGTCTTTGGCGCAAGTCGCTAAAGTCATGTTGGTGGGTCTGCGAAAAGGTACTTTCAATTTGTGTTGTGACGTTTCGGGTGCCGGACTGACGTTTACGACGTATCCAGTGTGAGGGGATTAGAATGGATCTTAAGCACCGATACTTTCCCAACTATCTCTTGTTGCATTTAAGGTACATGTCGTGTTGTACGGTAAGTGGAAATTCCAGCTCGCATCAAATGATAATAACAGTCTCAGAAGTTATCGACGTGAATGTTCTGAAATTGCCGCTTTCCAACTTATGGAAGTGGGAGTAACAAGTCGTGTGAAACACGAATGTTCAGGCATTTTCGTGATCATTCCATGACTTTTCCGGAAGGAAAATAACGTGGCGAACAGAACTCGAGCGTAAATTCGAACAGTGGCTCGAGAACGCTACTATATAAGGGGTATAAAAATGAGAATAATTATTGCCTTGAACACGGCTCAAGTTTTTTTCGGAAATATAAAAATCAAACTGAAACGATGGAAGTGGAGAAAAATAGTGTACTGCACTACAAAACCAGGGAAAGAGCGAAAACGTAACAAATGCAGAAAATACCCTTTCCAACAATCAGGTCATTCTTGTTGTAATACGACCATAAACAATATGATATGCTAAAAGGACATTGTTCTCAAAACGAGAACACTTTTTGATTCTTTCTTCAACAAGCTAGAAATACTTCATAAGCAATATAGTCACTGATTATGGTTTAAATTAATGCAGTGACCGTTTAGGGCAAATCAACTGATTTGTCCCTACTTCAGATATATAAGTATGTTCACATAATACAGTGTCATTCATAAAGTTAGCGTCATATGGAAAAACATTTATTGATAATTTATTTTGTAATTTGACTTGAGCATTAAGTTTTGCTTCAAAAAGGATGAAAAATCGACAACTCGACAACAATTCAAACCAGATGACAGGGATTGAATGTCAACAATAACTCTCTGATGTACTGACATCTTTCGTTATAGTTTTAGTTATATTATAGAGATGAAAATTGTGTGAAGAATGGCTGAAAGATAACTGGACTACAGGTTACTGAGAACGGGTTTGAAATCCGAAATGAGTTGATTCGAATAGAGCCATAGAAAATGTTTGTAAGAGATATAATTTTCATATCACTAATAATGATTTTTTGGATGTTCCAAGCTGATCAAGATCATAGTTCATGCAGATATATTTCTTCTATACATTTAAATTTTTAATTCAATGCTGAACATTCTTGGTGAGTAATATTTTTATAACATAATACATCATATTATTATTCATCAGATTTGAGAGATTGTCAATCATCGATTTCAGAGGATTTTCATTTTCGAACTTCTCTTGGATGTTCAACATCAGATATAAGTCAATATTCAGAATGATATTATGTGTATATATACATACTTTTATCTCAAGGAGAATGCAAGTTCTCATCTTCAGAAGATTTTGTTTTCAAATTCTAATGGTTTGTGTTCAATGGACATAATTCAATGTTCGTCGTGGCATATAGCCAAGAAAGTAGTTGTTTTCTTTTGAATAAACCGAGAAAGAATTGATATTTTCATCCATTTTCTCATCTTCATAATTTTATCTGAGAATATTCAATTTCTATCAGCTGCTGATTTTTTCACTAATCTTGCAGAATGGCTGTTAAGAAATCATAAAATAACATTTCAACATGGTACGCCATTGCGATGCGGAAAGTGAAGTGAATCGATAGGGAAAAGAAAGGGCACTAGAGAATTTTGGCTTTTAAACTTTGAGCGTTCGATAGGATGGGGATGCGGTTCCAAGAAATGAGTTCAACAAATCATTCATGAATGAAGTTTTCGAGAACACATCATCAAATGGATTTCTCATTCCAAGAAAATATATTCATTCACTGAGACTTACTCTAATTGCTTCATTCTTTATTTTAAAAAAATCGAGATTATTTTATTAAGTATCACCGTAATCTTAATTCAATATGAATCATTCACCAATTTCTTCATTTCAATATTTCATAATTTTGTCTTGATAAATCAACTCCTACACGGAAAACGCTGCTCTCTGACGGTCATTTTGACATCGATAAAAAAAGGATGCACCTTTTTGATCTACCTACGGTCTCGCAATTTTTTCGGGTCAGTTTTTCTCGTAAAATTAATGATCGGCATATGTTATTCGTTACCAAGAGAAATTTATTCGTTAAAAAAATCTCTTGTCTTTACTGTTGAAAAAATATTGTTTCTTCACCAATCATCGTCATTCAATATAAATAGTTCACCATTTTATTCATTCAAAAAATTCTAAATTTTGATGAAAAAAATTGTTACATTGTTTGTAGCATATTATCATTGGTTTTTTCACTAATATTTTCACCTATTGTATAAATGTATTTTCGTATAATCTTAATGGGTTCGGGGTAGTAATATTCACGTTAATGCCAAAATCGATAGTCTTCAAGATCTAAGATTGCTAATAGGCATCGTTGTACGGATTTGTTGTAACCCAAGTTCGGTAATGTAGACACGCGAAATTAATGCGAATTTCGACTTAAAATCTAGGATTACAACTAGGAGCTCTGACATTAGGAAAGCTGATAGTGGAAAATTCTACTTACATAATAATAATGTTCCCTCGAATTCTTCAGAAATCATGTCAACTATGAATAGGGTGACCAGATTTTGAAAAAAAAAAAAAGTACATTTAGTTTTTAGCATATCATAACACAGGAAAAGCGCCGCAGGCGATTTTATTTATTATTCAAGGTCAAATGCCTTCAAATTGAAAATTAGATTTCCTCCTACTACTAAACGACTGCACATTTTCACCAAAGCATGAGTCAAAAAATCGAAAATCAGGATATAGGAAAAATCCCTATTATTTTGAAGTAGACTTTAGATTCGAGCTCGAAACACAAATAAAAAAGAAAGAGTAGCTGGAAAAAGACACCAATATCACGAACACACAGAGTATAGAACCTAGAGCCATAGACATTGAGCAGAAAGCACAAAAACTTTGATTGAAAGAACCAGAGAACATCGGTTTACGAGTGATGAATCAAATTTCTTTCCTGATCTGTTTTCAGTTTTTCTTATTATTATTCGACTTCAAACCGTCCAAACGAGTCTGACTTCACAAAAGAGGACATTTACCTACCAAATGTAAAAAGATATAGTACGAGGACAGCAGCCTCGAAAAAGGGTATACTTGTACCATAAAAAGAACACGTCTGGTCACCATAACTATGAACCACCAACAAAAATTCTATAATAGTATCCAGGTGAAACACTTCGTTGAATATTATCGAAAAAAATTCAAGGAACATTCATTTGTTTCTGATTCCAAAAATGTGATGGTGGTAATTTGGGTCAGCCGTTTTAGAAAAATTCAGGTAGATTTCAGGTTCTTGAAATCGGTAACACATCCTTCTTTATTTGATAATATACAGGATGATCTATGTAAGAATGCGAAAAAAAAATTACCTAGCCTATACCATTTGAGGAAATCAACGGTATTGCATATATTTCATATATTTTTCGATATTCATGTCAAGTTTTCTCTATTCATAATGATGAACCCTGCATGTAGAATATATTCAAACAGACTTGTACGGAGTAGCATAATCAAGAATAATAGGGCATATTCCTCCGCATTTCCTCAATTCCGCGAATTTCCAACAAACGTTCACAGATCCCTACTACAAACCACAGTTTTCTCCCCCCTATACCCCTCCATAATGTAGGCCAAACAATAAAGCCAAAAGACTTTGCGGCAATCATAACTTTGAGTCGAAATGTATCACGACTCTTGTGACACTCTGGAAGCCACTATGAATATTTGCGTCATAAGTATTTTGGTCTTCGAAGTTTAATGAGAAGTCGGTGAAAAGTTTTTTTAATTCCAAGGAAAAGTCTTGATGATGGTGTATAATATGTATACCGGATGTAACAGGTACATGGTACACCCCATTTTTCTCCTTGAGTTTTGGAGATACGTGAATAAAATTCGGAATGATTCATCAACTTGATGAACGTCACTTTTTGACATAAATAGGTTTCATTTTCCACTTGCGGTTTTACTGGAAGTGGTAATAACTTTTGATTTTCAAATGGATCACCCTATATATCATTGCATTTTCGAATTCTGCATCATTTTCTGAATCCAATGATACTATATAAGTGACATTTCAAACTTCAATATTGATTTTAATTTTCCATCTGAGTGTGCCGTGATTATTTTGATCGAGTCTGATGTACTCATATTGTCAGGTAAGTACCTATTATGCTAAAAAAAATTGAATCCTGTCAAAAATGTAAAATGTCTTAATTTATCACCAATTCAAGTTCATCAAAATGGTTTTGTGTACCATGATCCTGTGACACCCAGTATGTGTGGGTAAATGGCCCGCTATACACATATTTTGAATTGTTCTATTTTGAAAGGGGAATTCGTGGAATCTTGCTAAAGAGCCGAACACAGTGGTTGTTGTTAGTCGATGTATATACAAGGTGACATTTTGAAAGCTTTCCAACCTCAATATCTTCCTTCCAGTAAATAATAAATCGAGAAGACAGGTCTATTTTATTTTCAAAGAAGACACTTAAAATTAATATTTTTAGCCCTCTTGGTTCAACCCCCTAGGAGGAGTAGATGTTACGCTTAGATTCTCAAATGGTAAAGGGGTCATGCAATTCTTTTCCAACGGTAAGTACCCTAGTTTTCTGTTGAGCAGTTTCCGAAAAATGCCGTGTCAATTAGAAAACTTTCCACTCTCAATATCTTCCTTGCAGTAAATAATGTGAAAAATCGAAAATATATTTTTAGCTTTCTTGGTTCAACCCTCTTAAGAGGGGTAGATGTTACCCTTAGAACCTTATATGAAAAGGTGGTCAAGATGCACATTATTTGAAAAGGCGTTCAATTCTCTTCCCAACGGTACCCTCGTTTATCATTTTCTGTTGAACAGTTTCCAAAAAATGTCGTGTCACTTTCCACTCATAATATCTTCCTTTCAGTAAATATGAAAAAT